ATCCTTAAATTGTTTAACTGTGAGGTGTTATAACATTGTACTGTACTCTGGAGAGTTTTTTAAGGTAAAAAAGGTAAAAAATAAACAGCATGATGGGATGCACAGTAGTAGAGAGAACCAAATATGTGAAGCACCTTTTTGTTAATTTATGATTTGCTGCATATAAGGAATAAAACAAAACCCTCTGTCATAACATATTAAATTGTATCATTATTTTGCATAATGTTGAATCAAATCATATCGCAACAGGGGTGAATCGTATCGCCTGGTGTTTCAAATGTATCGTTAATGAGATGCGCATCACATCGGCCTCAGTGATGGAGATGCACATCCCTAGTGTGTGTGTGTGTGTGTGTGTGTGTGTGTGTGTGTGTGTGTGTGTGTGTGTGTGTGTGTGTGTGTGTGTGTGTGTGTGTGTGTGTACCTCAGTCTCAGAGATAAGCTGTGTGATTTTCTTGCATGTGTAAAATGGAGCCACTTCAACATGGACTACCCTCCAGTCGGCCCCTCTGGAAGTCTCCAAAATCTTATCATGCTTCTTCAGGATTTTCCTGAAACCTGTGAAGTTCAGGTTCTGCAGAGACAAGCAGGGAGAGGGAGAGAACACTTTTAATGAAAGACCAATCAACGCTGTCAAAGCGGCTGATTGAAGATGTGAAACTCTAAAAAGGGATATGCCAGGAGGCTCTGCATGTGGTCCAGCTGTGTTTATTAACAGTGAATGTGCAGCGCACCTACTACAGTATCAGGATTAACGGAAACACCATGCCGGGAACAAACAAGCAGTAAATCACATCTGACATATTAAAAAGCTGTTATGACGACACATGCAGCAGACTTTGAACCTCCTTTGGAGTTGGCTTCATGTCCACCTGATACATTTAACTCCAAGCTAACATTTAATTTGTAACGGTTTCTTTTCATGTTAATACCCTCTATAAACGTATGAATTAGTGCAGTTTTGACTGCAATTTGTATAAACTGCATTATCACTAAGTATCACCACAACAAACTATTATCATTTATGTGACCAAAAATGTTTCTCTAAAACGTATTATGAATAGTAAACATGTTTAAATATAGTGTTAATAGGGCTGTCAATGTTAACTTATAATGTTTACCATGAACTGCAAAGCAGTAAAAGCCAATGAAAGCTACATGTATTGCTCGGACTGGGGACAACTGATCCAGGATTAATGTTATGCTCTTGTTGGTTACAGGTGTGGTTCAAACGGAGGAAAACCATGCACCATTTTCCTGAAGTTGAACAGGAAAGGATGATAGTGAAATGAAAAGTTAATGAAACCCTCCGTTTTGTTATTTTCGAATAATAGCAAATAGAGAGAAAATAAATGAGGTGTAGAAAAGGACTGAGTGTTGGATCACGCTTTGTGTTTTAGTTTGAGAGCGTACCTGATAGTTCTGCAGCAGAATGAGGCTGAGGTAAAACTCGGAGAAGGCCAGCTGCAGGTCCTTTATGTTCCTGTGTTTGCAGCGCTCCTGCTGCGACAGGGCGAACACCGTCTTCCTCTTCCTCAGCCCCCGACCGTTGGCCCAGCTCTCCCTCTGAGCATCCAGCGATGACTGCAGCTCGTTCTGCAGCGTGGCAAACCGCCGCTGGGCCTCAGCAAGCTTTTCTGGAGGGAGGAGAAGAATACAAGAAAAAGGATTTTAAGTGTAGAAATGATGTGCAGGATAATAATCACAACAAACTCTCAGAGGTTTATTGAAATGAGTGTGTGTATGGAGCAGTGGTAGTAGTTGTAGTCATTACCAGAGTAGAAGGTGTTGATCTTGGCCAACTCTTTTTCACACGTCTGGAAGAACTTCTCCTCAAACTTGGCATAGTACCTTTTAACTGTATCCTCATCTGTGACTGTAAGAAGATATCAGAGGTAAGATTAGTGAACCTTCAAAACCACAGTGAAGACTATCAATCACCTTAATGGACCTGAATGGAATTAATGATGAAGAGGAGGGCAGAAAACAAATGCAATTTAAGAGCCAGTGTGTTGTGCTGTAACAATGTAAATGACCCCTCTGTGGGACGAATAAATGTATTCTGTTTCTCAATCTGATTCTGAAAGCTCCGTGCAGAGGCCTGCAATGGGCTGCTCCGAGCAGAGCGAGCAGCAGAGCACACCCTTTTGGATTATTTTGAACCTAAAAAGGTTTTATTTAAGCTTTGCAACAACATCTGTTGCATGTGCATGCCACACCTTGTTCGATGATCCTCAAATATTCTGCATGGAATGCATGGTGAATGGTGAATTGAAGTGCTACAATGTTGCTACCTCAGCTCACATCATCCATCTGCACCTCTCCCCTGGCCTGAAGATCCAGATAGAATGACAAGCCTTGGTTATAGTGCTGTTCTTTTGTTCACCTCCCTAATTTTAGCTACTTTGGACCACACTGAAATAGCGTAATAACTATTAGATGCATTGCCAAGGAATTTATTTACAAAAATGTATATTCTTCTACTAAAGAATTCTTCTGAGTCTGGTAATGCCCTGATTTTTCTCTCCCATGATGTTGACATGTGTAGTTTAAATGAAGTAATCCTTCAGAATGAATTAAACTTGCTGTGATTATCACCTGATTTTAGCGGCATTAATCTCAGCATGTAAATACATGAACTTAAAACATGGATGTGTCCATATAGCGTGCCGTGACAAAGACATGGTGGTATGGCTCACAGACTGACTCATTTGCAGCATGCCTGATTTGTCTGAGCCTATTCTTAAATGGCTCTGTTATATACAGATCTCTATAGTCACATGTTGCAGTGATTCACAGTTTTCCCTACTCCATTCTCTTATTCGGATTTGGAATGTGATTTAAAATAATCCAATAGTTACTGTCCTCAGTATAAACAGACATATTATCCACAGTAATTTGGACACTAGAAAGAGAATGAGAGCGAGAAACTGGGGTTACATACTGTAACCCCTATTTCACTATTTTCTTTTTGTATTTACTTGCACAATTTTTTTCTGTTTTATTGTGTTGCATTGTTGGAGGAGCCTGTGACCTAAGATTTTCATCGTCATAACTACAATGTAGCTATGTACGTATTACTAATAAAAGCCTTGAACCTCACTAAGCATCATTACATATTCATTGAATATTGAAAATAAAAATGGCCAATTATACCAAAACGTTATCATAAAACGGCCTCTCGGTTAACCTGTTAAGCACTGAGCCTGTTTTTCAGGTCTCAGGCTCGAAAATGACACTTCCAGAACAAATGACCAT